CCCATCTAGTGCTGTCCGAAAGTACCCCACTAACTGAATAACAACAAAATATAACTTATTTTAATATTAATAGGAAAACGTCCTAAATTAAGTATTGGAGACGTATCTTAAGTATATTTTGCTAGTTACTGATAGAATACTCTACACGAAAACTTATTTTATCTACGGTAACAAGAGACAAAAACATTGATCAAAAAATTACTAACCGAGCGCGAAAACACGCCATGCCTGTAACTTCACTCTCATCGGTGCGAATTTCGCGAAACTTCGTTGATGTATAGTTCGTATCTCGACTCATGCACACATACAAAAACAAGACTGTACTTTGTTTCGTTCAAGTTTTATTTTGACTGTATGAATGTGCCCCGCGTACGAAGGGTAACGATCTTCCCCTATATTATAAACTTTTAGCAGCTTTTATCTTAAGTAATAATATAAAAATTTAGACAATATGAACGTAAATATATGTAAATATGTTTTCTAACACTCCTTTTGTATGTAGATTTATAAGAATTGATCTTTTATTTTATAGTTTAATTATTTTCTATTCCTAAATTCCTTTCCAGCCGATAATTTTATGTTTTTACGCGTTTCCCTGTTTTTGACCCTGGGCCACAATGCACAAACGGGCCATAAAAAAAAAGAAAAAAAAAAGATATACAATAAAGTCGGAGTTCCCCCAATCCAATTTATTTAGTTGTAGTTGCAGTATTGGTGTGATTTAAGTGCGAGACTCCAGATCCTGAAATTAATATTATTTTGGCGACGCAAATTGACACAATTGAAAATAATTACTTGCAGTGTCTCCGACTCAGGGTTTGTTGGTATTTATCATTACTGATCATTTGACATTTGATATTTTGACTTCGTTTAACGTTATGTTTGCGACGTTTGTGGTTATGATCTGTGATCTGAGTTAACTGTTTAGGTTATAATTTTGTTTTTGTGTTTAAATTTGCATTGCCAGGAGTAAATCATGTATTGTACTTTTATTATTAAAGTTTAAATCATTGATAAATGTAAATATATCGTATTGTTTTAATAATTTCTTCTTACATTGTAAGGGTCAACATAGTTTTAGCATGGCCTTTTACAGGAATTTAATAAAATATTATGTCTTACAAAAGTGCCCTAAACATTCTACACTTATAAGATTCCCTCTGCATCAGCCTTTGCTCTTTAATTCCAACATTTACAGAAAAAACTTTAATACAAGCTCCAATTATTATGTTAAAATGTTCATGGAAAAGGAAAATAAATATGCTTATGAGATAATGGAAAATTGTGGATATGCTACCCAACTTAAAAACGTTTTATCATTGAACTCTATCTTAACACCAAATGATGATTTTGATAACTTGATAAATAAAGATTGGTCTAAGGAGTCTACTTCAGAAATATTTAGAGTATTTCCTTTAATTGCATTATACTGCTCTAAAAATAATATATGTATCTCTAATGCAATCTTTGACAATTATATTGATTCTTTAACAGATAATATTGAAAAAAGCACAACTGAAGAATTAAAATCACATTTTTTTACTCTATCTGAATTTCCAGAGACAGCATCAATAAGAACAAGAAATTATGTGGAAATATGGGCAGCTTTAGATGACGCCTGTATGAATAGATTTAGAGATTGGTCTTATGATGAAATTCTCTCTTTCTGTGCATTGTTTTATAAGCTTAGTGCAACTAAAGCATCAGATTTTTGTTATAAAGGTATTCAAAAATTAACATACAGAGCAAGCAAATTGAATAAGTCACAACTAGTACAAACATTTTTCTTTATATCTGCAATGAGGTTTTCACCTCATGATATGCATGGTATGGAACTTGCCGTAGAAAAATATTTTGATGAAATGAGCATAGACGAGTTAGCCATAGTGTCTATGGGATTCTTCAAGAGTAAAGTTCCTGTTAGAAGCATGTCTTTAATATCAAAAATAATTGATAGAATTTGTGAAAATGCAAATACAATTAACGAAGTGACACTTGCTGCTTTACTTAAGGTTATTCGGCTTTCACGAAAGTTCCCTATTGACAATAAAATATGCATATTTCTGGACACGTTGCAGTCTCAAGTACCACGTCTCTCAATTATGTGTAATGTTCACATAGCCTTGCTTGCAAGCAGTACTCTAACAAAACATGAAAGCTGTCTTTTTAACATTGCTAATACTGTTTTATCAAACATGTCACGAACACGTATAAAAGATATGGAACGGTTGGTGCTTACCTTTGGAACTCTTAACGTGATACCTGATACTAAGGAAAATTTTATAGAAAGAGTAATTGAAGAATTAAGAAAATCAGACCGAGAAACTGAGATAAAAACTCATGGTCGATCATTTGCATGTTGTGTAGCATATCTGGGCCTATTGGGATATTATCCTATTGACCTTATGGAAAAAGTATTCAATAAAGAATTTCTTGAAAACACCTATGGAAAATACTGCCTAGCATATGGTCGAGAAATATTAACTATTCATAACTTAGTAAAAATATTTCACAAAGAAAAGTGTTTGGAAGTTCTCACAGAAAAAGAAGCTGTAATATTAGCTAAAAGATATACTGATTATATTCCAGATATAAATTTTCATAAACAGTATAATGTTACTGAAAAAATGTTTTTAGATTTAAGAAATATTGTAGAAACTACCAGAGGGGGACCAGAGTATGTTACCGGACAACATATTCTTACTCATCATCAACGAGGAGGTACTACTTTTTTTTTCTAGAAAGCATATATACATTTTTTTCATCAATTATAAAATAATATTTTATCTTCCCAAAAATAACAATTATATCTTAAATAAACTCTGACCTCAGATTTTGTGACAAATTCTAATAAAACTATTACCTTTTTCAGATATAATAATCTGTGATTCTCAAAATGACAATCCTGTTGAAGTTAAAGATGTATTTAAATTTGGCAAGCTTATTCCCGCTCCTAATGATAGCAATATATGGATAGTATTGGTAATAGCTGGACGAAATGTAATGCTTCATAACTCTGATGAGCCATGTGGTCATTTATTATCAAAAATTCGGGAGCTTAACGCTATGGGATACAAATCTGCACCAGTAAGTAAAAAACCTTTCAATAAAACATCTATAAATGCCAGTTTTACTGAACGTGATTGATGAAAACCACTCAAAAAATTTAATTAAAATATTTCTGAGTATGTGGTCAGCCTCATGAAGAAACAAAGCCACAGCCTATACATTTTTTTGTTATGTGCTTCACAACTATGCCACAGGTGGTTTATTAATATTTTGTTATTTTCAGGTGATCTGGAATATTTATTCAAAACTTAACACTTTTGAAGAAAAAGAAGAATATATAAATAATATCATTACTGAAGCCAAATCTAGGTAATAACCAGCAAATAGTTGCAAGTTAATAATTAAATCTTGTTGTCTGTTCCACAACTGAGGATATGTTCACCTCCATTATGGGGAACCACCTGCCCATTGAAGTATTTATTTCACATAGATGATTAATATAACACTACCAATTCCTAATAGGCCAGCGAGATGAGTGAGGGTCTAAGGGCGTCGGCACCCAGTTCATCACTACAGCTACATCAGATAATGAGAAAAAAAGTTAAATGTGATAACCCTAAAATCTACCAAAATAATATCCATAGTTTTCACCTTGCAATGTGGCTTGTTGAAAAATGTATTAGATGTGTTAATAATTTGTTACTAAAATAAAATATATGTATGATCATCTTTAGTTGTTTGTTATCTGTGAAAAGTGACAGTTTACCAGTAGACTATAAAAAACATAAATTTTTGCCTATTATTTAATAGTCCCTTACCTACGAGTGGTTAATGAAAACTATACTAAACAAATCTTTCATCTTATATTTTGTACATATTAATTTTTAAAATGATATTTTGAAACCTTATTACACATTTTATTGGATCTTTTAAAATTCATATTATAATCCAACTTATATTTTCAATAATATACAATGAATATAAAATACAGCATGTAAAGCTTAATAAAAATTATTACTTAACACAAATTCTTTACACGTGAAATACAAGCATGTCTGCAACTTACATGGGCGCTAAAACCAAAGTTATAATCACACTATTATATTGTTGTTTTCCGTCAATTTATTAATGTTTAGTTATATACATGATTTTTCTTGTAATGGGTAACTCTTACGCTAACTCACTCAGCGTTGAGCGTACTGCGCCGGGCAATGAGCTAAATCATTGTTGACAGCTGACAATTGACGCATGAATGTGATTAGTGGAGCCCTTAGCCAAAAATACTTACAGGTGGTCAATCATTATAAAAGAAATATAAAAATTCCCTGGGTCGTATTCACTTATCATACAAATTAATTTGGCGTTAGGTAAACCACCTCTAAGTAACTATGGATCCAGGTATAAAAATTGAATTTTTGAACATACAATTTCCACAAATCTAACCACTATGTGAACTAAACTGAACTGAATTGAAGACAAGTCAAGAAAAGACTTAGCGCTAAGCATGACGTATGTCAAAAACGTATTGGAATTGTTGATACGTTTCTTGTACTTGGCGTCATAAGTCGACTTTGAATCTAATTCTGAATTTCGATTGCGTGAGTCCGTCCAACAATGTTGATACATTGCAATCAAGTGAGTTAGCCCAATTTCGCATACCCATATCTTTTTTACTCTGTAAGGTGGAACACATTGGGTTGCGGTGTTACATTCGTTATAACAGAATCTCCGGATCAAGAGGAGTTTCCATTCTCCCCGTTATCTTGGAAGTTGTTGGAATTAACTGAAAACGGAGCTCCTAAGCCATATAAATGACCACTGGAACTCTCAATGTTGTCATCAAAGAATATCTAAAACAATAAAGGGAAATTTATATTCATATTAAATTATTAATAAAACTCAGGGAGTGAGAATGTAAAACAAAAGACGCGCGTCAACACGTCAAATTGATTTTAATTGACATGACGCATTAATATTATGTCGGGTGTCAACGCGACTAGATGCCGTTGACCAATCAGAATCGAAGATAATGACGCCTCATACGTCATGATAGTTGCGTCCAATCACAATCAAACGCATGGTTTCGTGTTTGTATTACATAAGCAGCCCCTTTACAGTTTTTTCTGACCTAAACACTTTGTTCTTAAAACATCTTGTACATCAGGTAATCTTAGAACTTATTTTGTGTGCATGACCATGTGTAGAAACAATATAATTTTTTTTTTCTGTTAATAAATTTGTTTGTGTGTTACCTATTGTTTGTTTTCTGTATAACAACCGTTAGAACTGGAGGAATGCTAATAAATAAATAAATAAAAATTTCTTGTGTTTGATAGACAATTAGCGTTTAAACTAACAGGGCCAATATGTTGGTAGTTATATTTTAAAAAGCCAATATTCTTGGCAATAGAATAATAGAAAGATTGTTATTTTACATTTTGAAGGCAATTTTTTTTTTTCAAATAATGTATAATAAATATTTAAAATCTCTTTCTACAGGTCTTGTGTTAAAACATCTTGTACGTTAAAAAATTTAAACAATCAATAATACTTTGGGCCGAATAGGCGATTATTACACCTGCGCATTTACTGCGTTTTCTTATTGTAATAAAAAGAAATTCAATAAAAAGTATATATAATAGTTATAAGTATATTTTTTATACATAAAATGAAATTAACTGTTTGACAAAAAAAGCTTTACTTACTTCCTTTATCTTGAAAAAAGCCATTCCAGTTAAATGCGAGTCGGATCCTGCCTGATGCTGCGGCCCAACCCTTCGTAACTCCAGCTGATCAGCTACTTCTTGTAAACCTCCTTTCAAGTTTTTGCACAATTTCATCAAGTACTGAAAATATTTTATTTAGGTGTTCAATATGTCGGCACTACTTTTACCCTCTATGGGTATTAGGGAGCATTCAAGTATTACGTAACGAATTTTTCCTTTTGTAAAACGTTATGATGCGGGGCGGGGAATGAATGACGCGTTATTGTTACTTGTTACTTTACACCACAATATAATGGTAACTTTTAGGTATAAAGAGTCACTAAGTGGTCACGAAACGTTTTACTATACTTGGGTACAGAAACGGCGCGTTACATGGGGGGAAGGTTTAATAATCTCCAAAAATTGCGTGACGTAATACTTGAGCGCTCCCTAAGACAGAAACAAGACTGATTTTAAGTCTCGTTTCTAACACCATAAGACTCAATCAAGTTGGTGACTATGATGTTGGTTTCCCCATAAACAGTTGTCTCGATAGAAAACTATCTTACATAATAAAATAATTATTGGAAAATTCTACTATGGTTATTGGGGATTGAATTTGACACAAACAACAAGTTAAGTAACGTAAGGGTATATAGAACGAGTCGTATTTTATTAACATAATTGATGCCTTTATTAAGAGGAAATAAATGTGAATTTAGATGTAATAAATTAATTTTTCCCTTCTTTTTCTATATAAAGGGGGGCAAACGAGCCTACGGGACGCCCAAAAATGGCAGTCATCGCAGCCCATAGACATCCATTTTTAGTGGGTAGGGAGGAGTACACTCGAATTTTGAATAGTTGGAGGGTGTATCTCTCAGGGGAGACCCCCACCCACCACCACTTCTTACCGAGACCTTTACATATATTTATTGCAATTTTTTTATGTACAACAAAGGAATAATAATAATTATACTACTTTATTTACTACACAATAACACAAAATAGGAGAAAAATAAAGTTAAATAAATAGCTTTTAGCAGGTCTCCCTGCTAAAGCAGTTTCTTTCAGAACATTCAAATAAACATAAAACTACATACTGGTAAAAATAACAAAGTTTCATAATAATACTCACTTTGACATCATACACAGTTGGAAAATATAATCTTAGACTTTCAAAAAAGTCATTTTCATCCTGCGGCAGGTTTTGATCTGTGAGTAACTTCAGCAAATATCCAAAATCGTATCCAGAATGAAAACTGAGCCATTTGATGTTATCCATTAACACAAGACCTGTAGAAAGAGATTTTAAATATTTATTATACATTATTTAAAAAAATTAAATTGCCTTCAAAATGTAAAATAACAATCTTTCTATTATTCTATTGCCAAGAATATTGGCTTTTTAAAATATAACTACCAACATATTGGCCCTGTTAGTTAAAACGCTAATTGTCTATCAAACACAAGCAATTTTTATTTATTTAATTATTAGCATTCCTCCAGTTCTAACGGTTGTTATACAGAAAACAATACATATAGGTAACACACAAACAAATTTATTAACAGAAAAAGAAAATTATATTGTTTCTACACATGATCATGCACACAAAATAAGTTCTAAGATTACCTGATGTCATAAGTAGTTCAGCGAACTCTAATGGCTCGATTCCATCTTCTTCATGTTTTCTAAACTGAAGACCTGAATTTTGGAGCAAATCAATCGAATCTTGAGCATACATGTCCTCCCTGAAAAAACATACTATCCTATTATTTATACATATTAAGTTTTAATACAGTGTGAAGTATGAATGCTGTTAATAAGACTGATTTTCTTTTGGAGAAGGTAAGTATGTAACTTTTTATTATGTTTAACAAATATATTGCATATTAACATTTAACAGACTTTCAAAGGTGGGCAAATAAACACAAACATTCATGCTTTATAATTTTGACATACCTATGCATAAAATGTCAAAGTAATGACAGTGGTTCTAGCAATTTTTGTAGAGGTTATGTTGAGGGTATGATGGAGATTTCATATCAAACCCAGGAGATACTGATAAAATACACAGGTTACCAACAGAGCCATAGATTATACAAAGCTTAAATTTAATCATTCTCAAATCAATCATTATCAAATTTTTGGTATGCATATGTTATATTCAAACTAAGGCCAAACATTTGATAATATTTGGCATTGAATTAAGTTTGCTATAAATTATGTTAATAATATGTATTATATGTATAATAGAAAAAAGTACTTACTGTAAGTTGAACTTAAAATTAAATTGCCATGTTGTGTAACCAGGTGGAGTTTTTCCATTTTCATCCATGAATGTTAGGCCAAGTTGGATAATTCTCAGCAAATCAACATTACATCTAAAAATAATTTCAGTGTGTAGTTATCATGAGTTATGAGCAATATTTTATATAACTTTTAGTCCTTATTAGTAGTAAGTTAATGGTAATTGGGGCGAAATTCAACTATTTTTATAGCAGTAATTACAAACATTAGGTCACAATTAGTAAAATAATGCATTATTATCTTAATATATATAAATTATGTGTCACATTGTTTGTCCGCTATGGACTCCTAGACTACCGAAACAATATCAATCAAATTTGCACACCGAGTGTAGTTTGACCAACTTAAAAGATAGGATAGCTTACATCTCAATTTATACCCGCAATTTAATTTTATTGCAAATTATTTGTTTATTATTTGACAGAATTCTAACAGATGGCGCTGTGTTGAAAGTACCAACTTTTCACATAAGCTACAATTTAATGGCATAACCACCAATAAAGCATGGTGGTCCCCATGACTGTTGTTCTCCTGCCGTTTCCCTTGAATAGTTTACAACTATGTAATATAACAAAAATCTTAGCCATAGCAACGCTTGGCCGAGTCTGCTAGTATATATGTAAAGTAACACTGTTGTTTTATACAATGATACTTTGAAGTTATACAATGATAATGAACAAGGTAGTAAATTATTCCTAAACTTGTCTACTTTGCTTATGTTTTATTTTAATACTATTAAACATTCACCTTAATAACTGATACTGGTAATCTGCAGTTGATCGAAATTCTCCAATAGGTCTAGCCACAACCCCAGGAAACTCTGTGTCCATAGCAACCCAGTGATATTTTTGAACAATCTGTAAGGGTAATCTGTAGTTTACTATATTATATTTATAATCATATTATAATATTTAAGTTAGATGTACATTGTATAAACACTGCTTTTACTATCTAAATCAAACATCTATTATGCATTTCCTAGTACTGATTTTGTGCTTTTGCTAAATATTCTGAATAACCTTACTTGTCGTATTATTTGAAACTCCTCATGTAAATTGTGGTTCCATACATCTTTAATACCGCAGTTCTCCGCTCCTGGTAGTTGTGAAAGTGAACCAAAGCTAGCTGCAGGCATCTAAAATGAGATTTTTATTAGTATATGTGCTAGTGCTAATCACTGAGTGTTTTTAAATCTCAGCTATTATAGGCTATATAGATTGTTATTTAATTAGTACGACTAGCCTTCAAGAACTTGTCCTTTTTTTGCTGAATACTTTTTTATGTTTGATTTCGTCAACGGTTTTTAAGAATCACAACAGTGTTGCCTGAAGGCTATGGAAAATTTATATTAAATTTGCAATGCGTATTATTGAGAAACACTAAACACTTCTAATTTTAATAAAGAAGTTGCGAAAACAATAATTAATACTAAGAAGCCAAAACATTAAAACAGACTACACAGGTTCGCACATGTCACGTTGACATTATTAAACAGACAGTGTTCTTGCGATTAACGTCATAAGTTAATAGTCAGTGCTTACCACAGATGGACAATATCTTTAAGATGTTTAAGATTTGACTAAGTAACTTTAGGAAAGCTCATAAAGATTAAGCCAGAATAAAAACCGGGGTGTTTTCGCATTGCCTTAGAGGATTAGACATAAATCTCACACTCTCTCACAAGACCATAATATTAAAAAATAAAAATGTTAATGTGGTGAAAGACACACATTACAATCCTTATATATTGCAAACTATTGACCGAGGATCTGTGCTGCCCGCTCTGGACTTTAGCTATTTAAGAAACAAAAACAGATACATCTCTATAAAATAAAAGTAAATAAAAAAGAAACTTTATGCGTAAATGTGAATAAACCATGATTTATTCATAATTACGCTATTTTGATAGTAAGGTTAAGGTAAGTAAAACACAATTAAAAAACTGCATCACCAGGTCAGGCTTTACCGTAATATACATGGATGATACCGTGATTTGATGGATACTACTTTGTAATGACATTAAAAACCAGTAACCTTTTAAGTCTCGGCCTAAGTTTTCTGTATCTGTTTCGTGATCAATTGTGTTTTCTAATAGGCCACTAGGTGATCAGCCTTATGTGCCTGACACATGCCGTCCACTTTCTTGGGGCTATGGCACGCCGTTTCCGTCTGGAATGAGATGCACGATGAAGCTACTACGCAAAATATCTAAAATATCTGTGTTCACAAATCTCATTAATAGACCATGAGATATTGTGATAGCTGTTCACCAGCCTTGCGATTCAGTAACTCACTTTTCGAACTCTCAATTGGCATTGTTTAGCAGAATGCCAAATCGTAAAACGACTGCTTTGAGCGCGACCGCCGCTGTGAGAGTCGTCTCACATTGTAAAAACAGAAAAGAAAAAAAAACATTTAGTTACACATAATAAAAATGATGTTTCGTTAAAAGAGCAAGTGCACGAACTCCCACAATAGAATACCCTGTGTCGTGGGTAAGTATTTTCCATTTGACATATTAATGATAGGAAATACCCACATAAGAATGACCTGGTGTCTGTAAAATAATGAAACAATAGAATAAGGTTTAATCAATAAAGTTTCTTTGTAATATGTATTGTATTAACTTAACAATGCTTGTTTCATGTCCCTCACATTAGCACTACGCAAAATATCAGATTTGTATCGTGCAGTCTGGACATACAACGACCAATATTTAAGCTTTGACTTGTTTAAGCTATCGCGGAATATGCTTAAAAGGAGTATTATGAATATCTATAGCGCAAAATCACCTGCATCATGAGCATACCCCACATACACACCTTCACGTACCTACATTCCCCTAACTTTTACACCATCACACATAACAGCCAAATTAGGTATAAATGTATTGAATGTTTTTGATTGTTTTTCCCTTTTGTATGTTTGAATCTTTTTGTATATAATTTATTATGTATTATTTAGCTATATTTTTAGTATAATTGCTTGTTTATATATATTTATTATATATATTTGTTAGCTGTAGGATTACGAAATAAATAAATTACTTTTTAAAATTATAATTAGTTAAAAAAATTAAACACCTAAAATTGCATTTATATTTTTTTAAACAGTGTTGATATGCACAATTATCTCTTGCACGTACAGTGTAGGTAATCTTTACAGAAAGCCAAACACCTAATTGTCTATAAGATGATCTCTAGGTCTCAGATCAAGAACCATAGTGTTGTACCGCTACTGGATTACCTATTATAGTTTTATTAAGGCCATTAAGCGATCATGGCAAAGTATTTACACGGGAAATCAAGAAATAAATAACAAGGTTCTTCACGTTTGTGATGGTAAAGAACTAGCTAATCTAAGATAAATTTGTTATATATTTTGGCGACATTTAGAAGTGACCAATTTTCCGGACGACATTATGTATACATAAACACAGCGCTTTTTGCTGAGCATCTCTTTGCGGAACCAGTAGAGATATTTTCATGCGAAGCAACTCAGAAGCCTACAAGAAAAGAGCGTACCATTCTCTTAGATGGGCAAGTTCTTCCCCGTCGTTGCGAATGTCTACGAGCAGCGGTTAGTAGGTATTGTATTGAAAGTGCCTGCTATTTTGCCTCCTGTGCCCATATATAACTACGTAAATAATTTAGAAGTTTGTTACGGATATTTTAAATTGAATATTCTGATTTCTGTTGTCTATTTACCAAAGCAAAGTATATAAAACATCAAATAGGTTCTATATTAAAAAGAAAATTAAAATACTGAATATTTAAACTGTAGACGATGTAGTACAAATATACTGGAGCTACTGTGGTCCGAAGCTTCGTGAATTTCAGTTTCAGCCACAGAGACGGCAGTCGTTCGCGGGACGTCATACTTGTTAGTGGCGTAGCGTTTCTAATATATCGCTCTGATTCGGAAAATTCTAAAGTTAGCATTACGTGTGAAGTGAGTTTTTTTAGTTATTGTTTTCTTCAGTTTGAGGAAAACGTAAGTATTGCTTATTGTAAAAAAATATAAAGATGAAATATCATTTTACAATATTATAAATTTAAATAAATACAGTGGTGAAATACAGATATTTATATTTTAATATCTTTTCGTTAATAGGTCGTAGATTCGCTGACCGCGACTGTTGCACTCGAAACGTTGAGTTATGTAAATAATGTAATAAATTCGTGTCTGTATCTGTCTTAGAAATTTTATTTATATGTACTGGCGTAGACCAATGACAATATTATTTTTGTATCTATGTTGAAAAAATAATATTTTTAAATACTACTCTATTGTCAATTGCGTTGTTATGTGGATACAGTATTGAGTTATTTTATCTCTTGCCAGTATTATTTCTCTATTATTAGTATTTCTATTTGTGTAAATAGAGAATAAAGATTATCTCATAATAAGCTTATTTATAAACGTAGATAAATTTATTGTGAGAAAATTTGAATTTTAAATTGTACAACTGTGTCATTTCACGCTGAATTGGACAAAGCTGGTCAATTGGACAAATGATTGCGCTAATTACTTTCATATTGGGAAATACGATAGAAACTCTTTAATTTGCAGTATCCCTTCAAAGTACGTATATATATCTTAAAGGATCGATAACATTCGAGAATATTTTATCCTAATGTCTTTTACGCACAGACTATGCATATGATACTATTGAATAAGAATAATATTACAGTATGACAGTCATGCACGTGCGCTAATCTTAATAATTGAATGAAACGCCATATCGAAATGATTTATTTATTAAAATCAGATAAATTCTTATCGAACTGAGGCTTTAAATCAAAAGCAACTTTTTTAAATATCAAAAGGCTTAGCATCAGCGATCGAGGATATTAACTTCTAATCCCGTGAGATAAAACTCGATATACCTTTTCTTAGCCTTGACCTTTCCCCAGTAAGTGCTATCTTACATTTGACTTGCATTTTCCTTTGATCAGTTCATGTCATTCTCACAGTCGGATCCCTGTTTCTTTGATCATCCTCTACTCCGATAACCACTCACATATTCGAACCATAATGCTTAATTAAAGCTGTTGCAACTAGAGCTTTGAAAAGGTCTTGAAAGCTGCAAGGTGGATTCAATACCTACCTCTTTGTTGAGCAGCATTGGCCTAGTTTCATCTTGCGACTCTCATTGGCAGTGCAGTCCCCGGCAGTGCACCAAAAGATTTTCTCTATATGTCTGTACTAGCCGTTTTGCGCCCGCTTTGCTGGACGAATTAAAATAAATTTTGTTTCATTATTTTATTTTTTTTCATATTTTTATTATTCTTCTTTTTAACTTCCCGCTAAGAAAATTGAAATATTTCAAAAATCGAGTTTTTAACAGATGTTGACGTTTAGAGGTTCTAGGAAGCCTCCCCGAATGTTTCCGCGGTGAAGTCCGTATGGATAAATTTTCATAAAAGTAAAACAGCAATAAAAAAATGAAGGAACGTTGGAATTTAATAAATAAATTTAATAAACAAATTTCGCATCGAATGGTGGTAGTTTCATGTCGATACGATCAGTGGTTTAGGCGTGAAGGAGCCTCAAACGAAGACCATTTTCATTATATATATGTATATAGATTTAACTATTGCTCGTACGGTGAAAACAGTGATGAAGTCACCATGCCTTACACCAAACACGGGCGTGTGTCAGGCACAGATTGCTGATCACTTACTTGATGCAGAAGTCTGAGATCCAAATGGTTGTAGCGCTACTGATTTTGTTTTTGAAATGAAACTTCTTTAGGCGCATGAGGGTAAATTTACGGATTAAACGCAATAATAATAATATTAGCGTCACGAAGATGTGCAGCGTTTTTGTCGAAGGAAAGGGAGAGAGTGATTGAGACTGATTGACAAGGGCGAATTACCTTATAGAAATTCTATTTTTTAAATTAAAATTTCGTAAAAAAAATTGTGAAATATTAATATTTTATATTTTACGCAAAATAATTTATTGAAATCTCAAATGACGAATTGTAAATTAAAATGCCACGTGTTTTTATTATCGAAGAAATATTTTTTTTAAATATAATTTGTATTAATTTAAGACACTTTTAATATTTTAATAACAATTAAATTCGGCGTCCCGTAAGATCGTTTGCTCCCCTATAATTAAAAAAAA